TACCACACTGATCTTTGTTATTATAGTGGTAAGGCAGGCTTCTCGGAGCCGCGCTCCTCTTACCACACTGATCTTTGTTATTATAGTGGTAAGGCGGGTTTCTCGGAGGCTCGCTCCTCTTGCCACACGGTTTCTTATCATTGTGGTGATAAGGCAGGCTTCTCGGAGCCTCGCTTACTCTTATTACATTGTTCTTATCATTATGGTGATAAGGCAGGCTTCTCTAAGCCTCGCTCACTTTTATCACCTGTTTCTTATCATTGTGGTGATAAGGCAGACTTTTCGGAGCCTCGCTTACTCTTATCACCTTGTTCTCATCATTATGGTGATAAGGCAGGTTTCTCGGAGCCTCGCTCACTCTTATCACCTGTTTTTTATCATTGTGGTGATAAGGCAGGCTTCTCGGAGCCTCACTTACTCTTATCACCTTGTTCTTAACATTATGGTGATAACGCAGGCTTTTCGGAGTCTCGCTCCTCTTACCACCTTGTGTCTTATCACTATGGTGATAAGGCAGGCTTCTCGGAGCCTCGCTTACTCTTATCACCTACAGTTAGACTTACCCGGTCAGATCATGCCTTTCTTTCCTCACTCAAGCATTATTGTTTTCCTTTTTCTGTCTTCGGGTTTAGCCCTGAGGAACCCGTGATTCAAAGTACTCTCTTTATTAATACAGTCATAGGTAATTACTTGAAGGTTTTAGGTTTAGGGTTTAGGGGTTAGGTTGAAGCATGCGTACCTTGTCGTTCCCTGCCTCCAGAGTTCCTCCTGAACTCCGGCAGAGCTCCCGCAATCGCCCTGTCCCTGGAATGCGTCAGTACTTGACCAAATATGGAATCGGAATCGCTTGTATTTAAAATCTTATTTTCATTGGTGACTCGAGAGCATCATTTTTTTTTTCACGTCCACTTGTTAAAAGATTGGTGCACAAAGGGATTAGACATAGGAAAGGTGGAGGAGGATGCAGGAGGTAGGAGTCGTCACACTTGTCGACGACCCTCCCCCTCTCTACTGCCTCACACCCTTCCCATCTCTGACTCTCTTCTTAGTATGCAATGTCAAATGAAATAATAATGATAATAATAAT